ACTGAATGAAGACTGGGGTTTGAGAGGTCTGCACAGTGAGGGTGTCTGGGTTAGTCTTGTGTGTGTGTCCACACGCCACGCGTGCCACTGTGGGAGGTGGCAGTGGCCAAGGTCTGCTAAGCACTGGTGTTGTGTTGGGATCCCGAGCTGAGCTTACCATGTGCATGACCACCTTCCATCCCAGCAGTCCCCATAGGCAGGTCCTCCTGAGCCGGGACCACCCTTCCATCCCAGCAGCCCCTGGAGGTAGGTCCTCCTGAGCCGGGACCACCCTTCCATCCCAGCAGCCCCTGGAGGTAGGTCCTCCTGAGCCAGGACCACCCTTCCATCCCCGCAGCCCCTGGAGGCAGGTCCTTGAAAGCACCATGGCTTTACCTGGCAGCACTGATGGAAAAGGGCACACTCTGGCATTGCCTGGACAGGTGGTGGAGGCAGGCTGTGCACTCTCTCCTCTGGCCTGAGCCTGCCCTGAGCCCCCTTGGGCCCTGCTTCCTGTAGACTCTGCTTCCGGCTCTTCCTGTGTGTGGTGTACTCCGACTTTTGTTTTGGAGGTGTCTCTGCAGAGAAGATCCCGCCCGCACCTGTCTCCGGTGGGTGCCCCTGACTTACCCACCAGCCTACTTATGCACCAGCTTGTGCCCCTCACCAGGCTCTTGAAGCTGCAGCCCTTCTCTCAACAGAGACCTCAGTGTAGCACAGCTGTCCAGCTCCCTGGGGGCTGCCCAAGCCTTTCCATGCCAAGTGCAAACAGAGTCCAAAGCACTGGAGATTGGTCCTTGGCAGTGGCAGGGTGGCACACGCCAGGGAGGAGGCGGCGCCTGTGAGGAGGCCTGGAGGGTGGACCCCTGAGCACCTTGCCTTGCTGGCTCTGCACCTTTCCTCTCCTCCCCAGGGATGGTGACCGAGGTGGAAGCAGAGGCAGGGTGGGGGGGTGGTTTCCTTGAGAATCAAGAGGTGCTGTGCCAGGGTGAGGTGGTCTGGGAGTCGTGGGGGCCAGCCCTGGCCTGTGTTCTCTGTGAGGAGTGCGCGAGACCAGGGGAGTGACTAGGCCCACTGTGTTCATTCCCAAGGGGCTTGTGGTCTTCGGGGGTGTGGGCAGGTCAACCTGGGATCTCTGAGGGGAATGTGAGTGCCCTAGGTGCCTGACCCAGCATCCTGTGTCCTGGGGAATGAGGTCTGAGCTCTGGACTGAGGGGAAATGGATTAACTGAGGTGGGGACTGCAATGGGGGAGGGGAGCAGGGACCCAGGAAGAGGAAATCGCTGTGGACAAGCCTCTGAGGAGCAGGAAAGCCTGGCCCACCTGGGAACCTGAAGAGGTTCTGCCTAGGCGGAGAGGGTCCTGTTGGTGGGCCAGTCCCCGGGCATTGAGGCTGGAGCCTAGGGGCCCTGGGAATGCTGACTGGGTCACATTTATCCCAGGAGCTGAGGGTGTCACCCAAGTTACACAACAGGAGGGCTTCTCTTGCTGTTCAGTGAGCCTGAACGAGGGGTCTGGGTGGAGGCAGGGAGGCCAGCTGGGAGGCTGTGCCAGGGAGAGGTGGAGGTTCGATGTTAGGTGGACCAACCTCTGCTCTGCAGCAAGGGGTCAGTAGTGTGGTTCCCTGGGGAAGGGATGGCGGGTGGGGCTCCATCAGAGGCAGTGGAGTTGGCAGAGTCATTGGGACAGCCCGCCAGAGGTCGTCGCTGTGGGTTACGGGTGTGGGGTGCAGGAGTGGGTTTTGTGGGTTCGAGGTGCGGGGCGCAGGAGAGACGGCCTCCAAGATCAGCCTTAGGCGTTGGTAGCTTATATGAGGTGATGTTCCTGAGGGGGAAGGGTTATGTGGGGAGACCCCAGGGACCCCCACATGTAGGGAGGACCCAAGACATTGGGAAGGAGGGCTCAGGGGAGTGTGAGTCATGGGTGCCCTGAGGTGAGGTGGCAGCCGTGCTATAGGAAGGGTGGCCTAAGAAGAGGTTGCTACCATTGTGACTCAGATCTGTGGCTCAACGGGGGTTGTCCTTCAGCCGTGGTTGCTGTACGACGTGGTGTCTGTGGTCTTGGTCGGAGGAGCAGAGCTCTGGGCTGCCCAGCATTGTGGGATCCTCCCTGGCCTTGCCTCAGCAGGCAGGGTCCGCTCGGAGGACACGCTTGGTGTGGGAGGCCTGGGGAATGGGCAGGGAAGCCCGGGAGCCCTGGCTGTCCTGGCCCTCTGCCCATCCTGGTTAACACAGGGTGGGTGGCCGAAGGGGCCCCGGGGGCAGGCAGGCCACAAAGGCCTGTTCTTGTGTGTTGCTGTCGCTCTGTCCTTGTGAAGTGGTATTTATGAAGCGGCTGCAGGCAGAGGATGCTTTGTTGGGTACGGTATAAAATGCAGGAAGCCAAGCCGTCCCTCACCCTCTGGACATCCACAAACTAAACGAGACACGTTAAGAGACGGAAAGCAATCAGCCTGTGCAAACGCTTATTATTAAATGTCACGATAAATATTTTCTAGTTTCTCAAACTGACTCTGAGGTAGTCGAAGCAGAACGTTTGAAACGGGCATGAAATTATTCCTAGTTAATGCTGTTCGACTGCAGCTCCCCGCAGATAATTGGAATCCCTCAGTCGGGTTGGCGTTGAGGGCTGGGTTACCAGCGGAAAGAGCAGCCATCGTGCCTGTGATTCTGCAGTGGAGATTTAGGGGTGGAAGTTGTCACCTGCCCCTGTCCTCTGGCCTGGGAGTGCTGGGACGTGCAGTGAAGGTGGTGCAGTGGGTTGGCAGCACCAGCCTTGGAGTAGGCAGGCTGCTCCAAATCCCAGCAGTGCCCATCTGAGCAAATGACTTCGCTTTTTTGCACCTTCACGTTCTCATGGGTGACAGGGGACGATCCTGGACCTGTTCCAGAGGTTGCCATGAGGATTTCACACGTCAGTTTAGAGGAGCAGCCAGGTACATGTCTGGCGTGTGCAGGGTGCTCACGTTTGGTAGATCAGGAAACTCAGACTCATTAAAAGTGACTCAACTCTGGATCCTCCATCCTGGTCACCAGAGATGGGACTCGTGCTCAGCCTTCTGACAGGCATTTTCCATACCTGATAGGGGCAGCGTAATCTAGGTAATATGTTTTTAATCACTTTTCAAATTAAGGTATGATTTACACTCAGTAAAACACACTCCTCCTTATTGGGAAGTTCGTAGCTTTCCACAGAAGCGTAACACAGTTGCCCTGCCGAAGGGTCTCTGGGCTGGACCCGCTCCCACTGCAGACAACCCCTCTCCCACCTGGCCACCACGCAGGTTTTCCCTTTCCAGATTGGCCTGGAATGGAATCACGTCGTCTTTCAAGTTAGCCTCTGTTTCTTCCTCCTGGGTGCGTCGGAGCTTCCTGGTGTGTTGGTCAGTGGTCCCTTCTTTCTGTGGTCCTGAGTAGAGCTCCATGGTGTGGGTTCACCTCTTGAGGGACATTTGGGCTGCTTCTAACTTTTATCGATTATAAATAAAGCTGCTCTCAACTTTTCACTTGCGGGGTTTTTGTGAACATCCGCTTTCATTTCATCTGAGTAAATAAATATGCAGGACTGCAGTTACCCAGTTTCGGGGATCACTCATGGCTCACATTGAGACCGCCATGTTCTTTTCTAAAGTCTCCTCAATATTTTTGCACTCAGACCAGCAGCGAATGCACCCGGCACATTCTTAG